AGGAAGGAAGGAAGGAAGGAAGGAAGGAAGGAAGGAAGGAAGGAAGGGGAGGGAAAGGAAAGGAAAGGAAAGGAAAAGGAAAGGAAAGGAAAGGAAAGGAAAGGAAAGGAAAGGAAAGGAAAGGAAGGAAGGAAGAAAAGAGGTGTAATTCCACAGTTGCTGGAATTGGGTATGTCTAGTTTAATGAAAAGGAGGACTGGGGTGACGTGATAGCAGTGTTCCAATATCTTAGGGGCTGCCATAAATAAGAGGGAATCAAACTATTCTCCAAAGCACTGAAGGCAGGAGAAAAAGCAATGGATGGAAACTAATCAAGGAGAGAAGCGACTTACAACTAAGGAGAAATTTCCTGACAGTTAGAACAATTAATAAGTGAAACAACTTGCCTCCACAAGTTGTAAATGCTCCAACGCTGGAATTCTTTTTAAGAAGAGACTGGACAACCATTTGTCTGAAATGGTCTAGGGTTCCCTGCCTAAGCAGGGGGTTGGACTAGAAGACCTCCAAGGCCCCTTCCAACTTCGTTATTCTATTCTAACCTGTCTTGTATCTCTTTTTCTTTTAGCGATGTCTGACTTCCACGTACACCCCCAGAGTGCAGTGGTGGAAGAAGGAGGCGTTGCCCGCTTTCAGTGCCAGATCCATGGCCTGCCTGAACCCATGATCATGTGGCAGAAGAATCATCTCCCTATCAGCACAGATAATGACAGGTAACCCTACCCGAAGAACCAAAAACTGGGGAGGAGAATAAGACGTGTTTCCTTCCCAGAAATCTACTGAGCCGCGTTTGTATGGTTGGCTTAAATGCCTGCCAGTTAGTTGTTTTATCCTTTAAAATCTCAGAAATGTCACCCCAGCATCAGAGGGACAGACTGTTCTGACCTAACCTGGTTCCAAGAGGGCAAACAGAAGACAAAGGCAGCAGCCCCCAATTTTTAAAGTGGTAGGGGAAGGATACTGCAAAATCTCCAATCCCTTCCCACTCCAGGGGAAGGTTACTATCAGCCTTCAAGATTCTGTCTCCTGCTTGACTCTTTCTGGCTACCATAGAAAGGGGGGGGGGGGGGGGGAATAATTGGGCCTTGTGGGGGGAAGGGTGCTGGAGGTGAAGCTGTGTAAAAGTTGGGGTGCTTCTTTACTTACTGCGCAAATGCAGCCACTTATCTTTCCAGGATAAGTTCAACCGTCTTGGCATACTAGATGTCTGAGATGCCACCTGAAGATGCACCTACATGACATTATACACACCTCAGACTGGATGGCCAGTTTGAACTATTGGGGGTGGGGACATGGGACAACTTTATATATGTGATTTCTGCGCCTTTTGCCTCAGATCTTGTATTTCTTCTGATGCTATCACTTCAATTTCCAGTAAAAGTCCTTTTCTCTATAACCATGGATTCTAAGATTTTCTTTCTTGGATTTTTGAATGGAGCCACACTTGACAGTTATGGCAAAATCCCCCATTCCCTCCCCACCCCACTAACCTGCTTTTCAGCTCCGTTCTCCCATGCAGGGCAACCAAAGGAGACCCAGCCGATCAGCTAGGACTCAATGGGAGGCAGGGAATAGTTGGGGGCGGGGCCAGTCAGAGATGGTATTTGCCGAATCTCCAAACGACTCAAAATTTCTGCTACTGGTTCTCTAGAACCAGTCAGAACTTGCTGAATACCACCTGTCCTTCCTGCTCTTCTGCAAAAGTTGTCTGTTCTCCAAAAAGGGCGAAAGATCTATCAACCCCGATCTCTACGCATACGACATACATACAACCACCAAGGAGCCCAACATTTCTGTTGCTAAAGCGAGACATCAGTTGAGTGAGTTTTGTAGAATAGAATAGAATAGAATAGAATAGAATAGAATGGTATAGGTATAGGTATAGGTATAGGTATAGGTATAGGTATAGGAATGGAATGGAATAGAATAGAATAGAATAGAATAGAATAGAATAGAATAGAATAGAATTCCATCCCATCCCATCCCACAAATGATGACAGATTGAAATATATGTGAAAAGAGATTCCTTCGATACTGTAGCCTTTATAAACAGGCAGCAAGCCCCACACTTACTCACACTGATGACATTACCTAGTCGGGTAATGAAACACCTGCAACCAACCAAGCTCAGAAGCACCGGGGACTGCACAATTCAAAGCCCCTCCTAAAACAAAAACCTGGCTTCTTTCCCAGTCTTCACCTTCCCTTAATCGCCGTATATTCCAAGCATCTATCCCGAATGAGTATGTTTTTCTGAACCCCTTCAGGTACACACTGCTTCCCAAGGGGGTTTTGCAAATCACGGGACTGCGAGCCGAGGATGCTGGGATCTTCCACTGCGTCGCCAGCAACATTGCGAATGTGAAATTTAGCAGAGGAGCCAGGCTCACCGTATCAGGTTGGTTGGACAGTAGGGTGGGATGGGGAGAAGGTAAGGATTAAAGGTAGTCCTCGACTTAATGACCACAACTGAGCTGAAAATTTTCTGTTGCTAAGCGAGACATTTGTTAAGGGAGCCTTGCTCCATTTTACGATCTTTTGTGCCATAGTTGTTAATTGAATCATTGCAGTTGTAAAGCTAGTAACACCGTTGTTAAGTGGATCTGGCTTCTCCAATGACTTTGCTTGTCAGAAGATCACAAAAGCTAATCACGTGACCACAGGACACTGCAACCGTCATAAATACGAGTCGGTTGCCAAGCACCTCGATTTGATCTCGTGACCATGGAATGCTACAGTGGCCGCAAGTGTGAAAAACGGTCATCAGACGCTTTTTTCCGGTGCCGTTGTAACTTCAAACGGTTGTTCGTTGTAACCTTAAATGGTTACTAAATGAACTGTTGTAAGTCAAGAACTATATCTAAAGTGCTTCATCTGTCAAGTGCTACTGTTTTACTTTGGTATCTGTTTAGCATTTTTTTTTTAAATTTATATTTCACATTTCTGTACCACTCATCTCCTTCCAAGAGGAATTCTGCTTGGTGTACAATAAAAGATCAAAATCGAAAAGCAATCTATAAAAAAAATTAAGCGTTGGAGTTAAAATTTTAGAATTGATTAAAATATATATATATAAAAAATGTTTTTAATCATTTTAAACCCTGTTAAAAACCAGTCGATAAAGGCGAAGGCAGAACTCTCCTGGCACCAACCAGCCCCATAATGGGGGGTTTTCCTTCGAGCTCCCCAAGCAAGGCCACACAACAACATAGAGACTCTTTTTTTGGAATGACAGGTTGCAGTTGCTGCTTGGTGTCATCATTTATAACCGAGACGCCAGTCTCTTCCATGAGAGAATGCCCAATTTTCACCAGAATAACAGAGACAAGAATAACAGAGACAACATCTAGCCATATTCCAGGATTTGAAGGGCTACCACAATGAAGAGGGGGTCAATTTATTCTCCAAAGCACCTGAAGGCAGGACAAGAAACAACGGATGGAAACGAATCAAGGAGAGAAGCAACCTGGGACTAAGGAGGAATTTCCTTGACAGCAAGAACAATCAACCAGTGGAACTATTTGCCTCCAGAAGTTTGTGGGTGCTCCATCATTGGAGGCTTTTCGGAAGAGACTGGACTGCCACTTTTCTGGAATGGAATAGGGTCTCCTGCTTGGACAGGGGGCTGGACTAGTTGACTTTGAAGGTCCCTTCCATCTCTATTCTGATTGATTGAGTTGGAAGGGACCCTGGATATCTTCTAGTCCAACTCTCTGGTCAAACAGGAGACCCTCTAGCATTCTGGACAAATGGTTGTCCAGTCTCTTCTTGAAAACCTCCAGTATCTATGTCATCAGGATCACCTCCAGGTGACTTAACAACCTTCTAAAAGAATGAAAATGACCAGCTGTCTGCAAGGAGTATAAATCCTTCCATTCCCCATCATCCAGTCAGAACTGAAGAAGCTTCTTGGATGAGAAGTGAAACTTCTTCAAAGAAGCACCCACAACTTCCACTAGTTAATTGTTCTCTCTGTCCGGAAATTTTTCCTTATTTCTAGATCGGTTCTGTCCTTGATTAGTTTCCATCCATTGCTTCTTGTTCTGCTTTCAGCTGCTTTGGAGACTAAGTTGACCCCTTCTATTTTGTGGCTGTCCCTCAAACATTGGACCACTGCTATCATGTCTCCCCTTTTCCTTCTTTTCATTAGACACCCGTGCGATGTTGTCGGGCTTAGTTTTTGTCAAGGAAAATAAGGGGGAAACAATTCTGCCTCTGCCTACCAGCATCCATCAGTATTCACCTGGCTAGTGTCCTGTCAGTATGTGAGAGAGTTGGGGGCTGTTTGGAAACTGAAACAGTACTTGCTGTGTGAGCAAGAAGGAGACAGCAAGGAGCCTGGGCATGGCTTAGCTCAACTGTTCTGTACTAAAGCTGCTTGGTGCTGTGAAACTAAAACTCTTCTGCTTGTGTTTTGCATTTGGAACAGATTTCTTTTCAAGTGGGGAGGGGAGTAGGACTCCTTAGTATCAGAGCATGTTAATAATAATAATAATATAGGAAATATTAATGCTCTGATGGTCTTTTTGAAAAATCCTTTCTTAGTGAGCACCTAGAAACCAAGAGGAACATACGTGCCAAATTTCAAGTTTGTAGGCTTTACAGTTCTGGAGATTTTGTGATGATGCGTGAGTGGTATTTCGCTTTTATAGAGAGAGATTTCATTTTCTGAAAGTCCTGACTGGTAGGATAAAGCTCTGTGATTTTTCTGGTCTTGGTACGAAGGCCTACTTCTTGTCCCTTCTGTTCTTCTATGCTCAACGGAGCAGAGATTCCCAATCAGTCAGCTTTGTTACAATCACAGACCAGGCCAAAGCTTCATTCAGTACATGACTTCAGATAGTAATTAAAAGCAAAAGATATGAGCTGTCAGTCAAATCGATGCAGCGCACAATAATATATCTAAACTGACCAACTTTTTTACCATGAGAAGGGGGACACAAATAAATTGAAGGAAAAAAAACAAAGCCACTTGCGCATGGCGCACTCTTGTGCATGACACCCTCTCTCCAAAAAATTCTCCTGTGCAGAGCACATGCATCTCATCATCGCTCCTCGCCGCACTGTACCAAACCTTGACAAATCGTCATGTCAAATACAAATACGTCACATCACACACCAGATCGGCTCGGCATCGATCAAATATGGAGATTTACAGATTAGTCTTCAAATATCAAAAAGGAGGACATGTAGGAGGATACTTTTCGAGGGAGGACAAAACTTACAAAAGGAGGACAGTCCTCCCTAAAGGAGGACGGTTGGTCACCTTAATATATCATCGGAAAGAAGGTGGCCACAGTTGTCTGTCTTGCTACATTTTGAAATCCCTTTTGTTATGTACAGTTTATTAAGAATTATTTACGTGGGGAAAGATAAATACAAAGCAAAGGAGAGAGAAAATGGGGAAAGCAAAACAGTGAAAGAAAGAAAAAGAGAGAGAGAGATAAGGTGAGAAAATATGAACAACCTTTAACCTTCTTTTTTTCTTAAATATTACAAAAATCCCTTCCACCCCTTATTTCAATCCTTTTTCAGTCATCTAATCCAGAAATCATTTCACTTTATTCCATTTTTAGTGAAAAGACCATAAAGGGTTTCCAGCCTTTTATCTTTGCTGTAAGCATATAAGATCTTGTTTTAGTTTTTTCAAGTAATGAAAAAAATCTTGTTTTCTTCATTTGAGGGACTTTTGCCCTGTTTATATTCCATATTAGGCATTTAAAATCCATACTTTTTCTTGGAAACCTATACCTGCAGCATCTAACATGGTTGTCTCTTCCTCATTTAGTTGTGTGTTAATGTTGCGTGGTTCCCTCTTTTTGTTCCAGTTACACTTTTCTCCAGCTCTTTTATAAAAACTGTCCTTCCTCTAGAATCAAAGGACACCCTCTGGGATGGCTTTTGGTACTCTGCTTTTTGATGTCCTCTATTGCAGGTGCCCCCATCGCCTGGTCCATGAACTGGCACCAGTCCTTGGCATGCCAGAAACTGGTCCATGTAAACAAGCAGAGCAGAACAGAACAGAACAGAACAGAACAGAACAGAACAGAACAGAACAGAACAGAACAGAATAGAATAGAATAGAATAGAATAGAATAGAATAGAATTCCTTATTGGCCAAAAGTGATTGGACACACAAGGGATTTGTCTTTGGTGCATATGCTCGCAGGGTACATAAGAAAAAACAAAATACATTCATCAAGAATCATAAGATACAACACTTAGTGATAGTCATAGGTTACTATAAGCAATCAAATCATACTAGGAAAACAAAACAATACATATTGTAAAGAAACAAGCAACATGGTTATAGTCATAAGTTGGAAGAGATAGGTAATAAGAAGCATGAGAAGAATAATAGTAATACAGTCTTACTAAGTAATTTGACAGTTTTGTGTGAATTCGTCGTTTAGCAGAGTGATGGCATTCAGGGGAAAAACTGCTCTTGTGTCTAGTTGTTTTGGTGTGCAGCGCTCTATAGCATCGTTTTGAGGGTAGGAGTTGAAACAGTTTATGTCCAGGATGTGAGGGGTCTGTAGATATTTTCACAGCCCTCTTTTTACTCATGCAGTATATAGGTGCCTCAATGGAAGGCAGGTTTTAGCAATTGTTTTTTCTGCAGTTGTAATTATCCATTGAAGTCTATATTTGTCTTAGTTGGTCGCAGAGCCAAACCAAATCAGGATGCAGCAGCATGCAAAACCATGGTTTCCCTCTGGTCCACAGAGAAACCTTTCTCCATGGAACCAGTTCCTGGTGCCCAAAAGGTTGGGGGCCACTGCTCTATTGAATTGGTTGGATTAAAGGTCTCGTTTCACTTTAAATTAAAGAAAGATCTCTTTAAATTCTTACCACTCAAACATGCTTTAGGGAGTGGACTGGGTGAACCCAGTGTCCCTTGAACATGCTATATCCTTTTTTGGCTCCCAGTGTTCTGCTTGTGAATCGCTTCTGGGTTCATTCTAGATCTTGTCAGCTTCCTCACAAGGAACAGCCCTCCAGAGCTTAAATGGGCAATTTCACAGCTTCCTCCTTATCCAGAGAAGCTCCCATTAGCTTAAGGCACCGCCAGCTACTGGATTTCACCTCAGCATTATCCCCCATGTATGGAGTTGAACTAGTCCACCGTGTTTCCACCTGGAAGTCCCCCTATATCTTGAAATTCCTTTCCTTTAAAACCTCGGCTCCTGTACATTTCTAATATAAAATATTTGCAAAAAGGAAATAACAAAAGGTTTTGGTGTCTGCTCTTTACTGCACAGGCTCTCCTTCTGCTGTTTACAAAGACCCTATGATCCTTGTGGGACCTGAGAACTTGACTCTGACGGTGCACCAGACTGCCATCTTGGAATGCGTTGCAACTGGGAATCCCAGGCCTATCGTCTCCTGGAGTCGACTTGGTAGGTATCCCAACATTCTAGCCCAGAGGTCTCCAACCTTGGCAACTTTAAGACTTGTTGACTTCAATTCCCAGAATTCAACTCCCAGAACTCCCAGAAAAGCTTTGCTGACTGAGGAATTGATCTAGCCTGCTCTCTTGGTGGGGGAGTTTGGTTATTATTTTGGTTTAGATAAGAGGATCTCCTGGCATCTTATTCTTTGATTGGGTAAAGAGTTGGCCTCATTCATACTGACAATATTGAAAGCAGCTGCATGTAAACATCTGGATTTAAGATGCATAGAGAATGTTTTTTTTTAATTTATTGTTAGATTTATATCTCATCTTTACAAGGCTTCCTCCTCCTGTTTTTCCCACCACCACAACTCTGTGAAATAGGTTGAGCTAGGAAAGAGGTAATCTAAAGTTACCAACTCAGCTTTCATACCCAAGAGAGAATTGAAGCTCAAGATTTTAATCCAGTGTCTTAACCAAACCAGATCTCTCTATTTATGTTAGAATTGCTTTATTTTCTGTGTATTAAACTTGTTTGAAAGTGCTTCGAGGCCAAATAATGAAGCCGTTCATCAGATACTAGTTTACTTCTCCAGCATGTCTTTTCAATGTGGTTGGTCTCTTTTCTCTTCTATGTCGTATGGGAATGACCAGCATACAGGGGACTGTAAATTACATATGCCAGAGTTAGCTTGCTGTCAGGATTCCAGCAATCACTCTAATTAAATCATGATTCTTGAGCCAAACTTCAAAAAACTTCAAAGGATTCATTAGAGGCGACATATTATTGGCACTGCCCTGTATGAAGCCAACTCACCTGCTTGCCCCCTCCCCACTGGGTGTCTCATAAACCAGATTCTCCAATTGATGAGCATGTTCACAGGCTGGGTGTCATCATTCACTTTCTCCAATTCAATGTATTCACAGGCAAAAACTCTGGTAGTTTAGTTACAATCTTTCAAAGAGAAGAGTTGGAATGTACTTTCGCTTTCAGCTGCTCTTCCATATTTTCCCACCGCTTTTTTTTATGGCAACTACTAAAACAGGCATAGGAATATTTTATGAGTTGACATGTACCTTGTAGGATGATGGATGATGAAGCTGGTTCAGAACTGCCTTCTCCAACCCCTTGCCCTCCAGGTGTCTGACATATTGAATGGGAGTGGTCGGAATATTGTAGTGCAGGAGTGTGAAACTCAAGGCCTGGGACCCGTATCCAGCCCGCTGGGTGCTTAGATCTGGCCTACAGCACTGCCCTGGAAGCAGCGAAGGCCCAGCCTGCCATGCATCTGCCAGCAAAAATAGAGGCCCTCCCAACCTCTGTTTTCACTGGCAGAGGTTCCAGGAGGCTGTTGCTGCCGAAAACGGAGCTCAGGAGCCCATTTTTGCTGGCAGAGCTCTTGGGTCACCACAGGCACCCCCCCTCTCAAAACAAGTGATGTCATGCTGGTCACACCCACCCTGTCTCCCAAGGTCAAATACAACCCTGATGCAGACCTCAATGTAACCAAGTTTGACACCCCTGTTGTAGTGCATCGGATCAGGATTAGGAGGGGAAAAACTGTCCTAGAAGATTAGTGAGCATTCCACTAAGATCCTTGCTATAACTCAATGTTATTTGTGTAGATTAGCTTCTAAAACATACAAATTTCCAGGTGTGTGGACTTCAGATCCCAGAATTCCTCAACCAGCAGAGCTCTAAATGAGAATTCTGGGACTTGAAGTCTATGGACCGACCTGGATGGCAAAAACTACTCTAGATTTAATATAAAACACAAAGAAAAGCCTAGCACGGTGCAGAGCCTTCAAGGCCCATAGAGATCTCAAAAACATATGCTTAGAAAATGAAATAGAAGAGGAGTTTGCTTTGCTTCTTGGAATGCGAGTATCTTGCAAGTATCACACCTACTCCGGCAGGCGTTTTGTGAAAGTGCCCATAACATAAAATGCTAAATATGATCTCTGGTTCCCCAAAATTGAAGTATCATTTCTGAGATGAATTTCAGAAGAAAATGGATTCAGTTTATATAAGAGGGTGAGCAAAATAGAAACTGGTTAAGTTGCTAAGTTTTAGTTGATATTTTTTTAAGTCCTTGTAGGAGGAAAGCCAAGTTAATTTTTCATGGTAAAAATACAGAAAGATTAGGTTTATCTTTTCCAGGTAACAAACCTTGCTAAAAGATCTGAGCTGATCATGAAAGTTTTTGTGCCTTTTAATAAAAAAAAACAGTTAGTTAGAAAAGGTGCTATCGGATTCTTCTGATTTAATACTCTTGAACTGAGCAAAGTCTCTGCTAACAATTTACTCACGGGGGGGGGGGGGGCAAATTAAAAAATGCAAAGAAAAGGGCCCCCCCCCCCGAGGAATGGCGAGTTCAATTTTTCCTGGAAAAAGAGAAAATTGTTTTCTACTCATGTTTGAATTGCATATTCATCTTTCTGACACCTTCTTCCCTCCAACAGATGTACACACGCCCAGGTGCTTCCTTCAGAATACACGGCAATTAATTGTGTTTCTTTTCTTTGAAAAGCTTGCAGATAAATGTTTCTCTTACAGGTTTCTGGGGTTTTTGACACCCATGAAAGGATCACGGACTTAACAAGTCTGTTTCTTTAGAGAATTGGAAATGCAAGAAAAAAGACTCAAATTATTGGAATACTGTCAGATTGGAGTGGGGGGCATAGTGAGAAGTAAATAACTAAGCATTACCCTCCTCTTCCAACACCCCTCCACATGACAGCAAGTAGAGCCCAATTAATTGGATAATGTATTGGCACAGGACGCTGCCATTTCCCCCTCCTTCTGCCTGACAGCTCTCTCAGTTCCCCTGAATGTTTTAGGGGAAAAAAAACAGCACCCATTTCAGCTTTGCTTTCCTCCCGCATTTCAATCACCTCTTCCCCTCCGTGGGCAGAAAAAGAAACGAGAGTTGGGTGTTGAGTGTAAATAATTTGTCCAGGGTTTTCCGTTGAAAGGTGCGATTGAGCTGAATCTGAATTTTAAGGCAGGCCTTTTTGTCAGGTGCTCCGGCCAACCAGTTTCGCTTCTTAAACCCCCTGGGTGGATTTTGCTTTTTAAGTTTTCTTTTTTTTTTTTTACTGTGAAGTGCAGTCAGCCATCTTGTTTTTATTGGCAGAAATTCTTGGACCGTGCATGACCCGCCTGCCCCGGATATTAGAAGGTTTAAAAGGGCCTTCCTTAGTTTTGCTGAACTCACCAAACCACCCCCAAGATAGCTTTGAAATGGAAATAGTTTGAGGTTGGAGATAGGTTGGAATCTTCCCCACCATTAAACCGAGCTAACCGATGTTGGATTCCTGAATTAATAAACGTTTTCTGAAATTGCCGAAAACACTGAAATGCGAACTAACTCAATAGCTTAAATGTAATCTTTGGAGGGGCAGGAGCGGGGAGTCATTTTAGCTTATTCCCACTCCCATTGGAAGACAACAGATAACAGATAATCAGAGTTGGAAGGGACCTTATAGGTCATCTAGTCCAACCCCCAACCCAAGCGGAGACCCTACACCATTTCTGACAAATGGCAGTCCAATCTCTTCTTGAAAGCCTCAAGTGATGATGCTCCCACAACTTCCGAGGGCAACTTCTGTTCCATTGGTTGATTGTTTTCACTGTCACAAAATTCCTCCTTATTTCCAGGTTAAAATGACTTTCCATGTATGGGTAGTCCTCGATTATGACCATAATGAAGCCTGTTCATCATGATCATAACTTGTGAGGATTGTAAATCAAACCACCCATGTGACCAATCCGATTGTATAGCCTTCTTTATGGTGGGGGGATCATTATGTAAATCTATAGTTTGCTAAGGCTGGTTTGCCAAAAACCGGACATAAATGCACATTTTTGGCAAACCCATTGTAAAACTCAGCCACATGACCACAGGATGCCATTATGGGCTGTAAATGGGAGCCAGTTGCTGAGCACTTGAAGTGCAGTCATGTGACTAGTGCGGCAATGATTGGAACTTCAAATTTGGGTCGAAGAAAATTGAGCATGGTTGCTAATACAGTGCAATCAAAGCTTGAATTGCACTGTTGCAGCCGCCATCTTGACTTGTTGCATGGAAAACGCACACTTCACAATTCTACTTTATTTTTTAGTTCATTTTTTTTCAATGTTTTTATTTTTATTAAATATAGAAAGAACAAATATTTCAGTGTGTTGCCTGGGTACAATTAATTTGAGCCATAATCATCAGTTTTCCATCCTTCCGAAGTGGGTAAAACGAGGACCCAGATTGTTGGGGGCAAGTTGCTGACTCTATAAACCGCTTAGAGAGGCCTGTAAAAATACTGTGAAGCAGTATATAAGTCTAAGTGTTATTGCTAAGTCTTATCACAAAATTAGTCATTCTCTTGTATTTTTTTTTTTAAAAACTAACTTCTGTTTCTTCTCGTTAACTATTGATAAAACAAATCCTACATTAAAAAAATAGTCAGCGTCTTTCTTATCCTTAATTTTAAGTGTTAGTTTATTCATTTCTGCACATTCTAACACTTTTCTATTACATTGTCTTCTGTGGGTACAATTCTACCTTAAAGGAGGATAAGTCCCAGCTGGCTTGGTCAGTCTATATAAGCAGGACAGGGGGGAAATAATCTTACTTCATCCTTCCCCATTTCAGACGGGCGCCCAATTGGTGTAGAAGGAATTCAGGTTCTTGGAACTGGCAATCTGATGATTTCGGACCTCACCGTCCAGCACTCTGGGATATATGTGTGTGCAGCCAATAAGCCCGGCACAAGGGTGAGGAGGACAGCCCAAGGAAGACTCGTGGTGCAAGGTAAGAACTTTTCTCACTATATCATTCCTTAGGGGAAAAAATAGTCTTTTTTGGTACTCATCATGCATCCCTGAACCAATTAATGATGAGTACCAGGGTACCTCTGAATGAATGAATGAATGAATGAATTCTTTATTGGCCCAGTGTGATTAGACATACAAGGAATTTGTCTTTGGTGCAAATGCTCTCACTGTACATAAAAAGAAAAGATACATTCGTCAAGAATCAAAAAGTACAACACTTAATGAAAGTCATAGGGTACAAATAGGCAATCAAATCAAATCATACTAGGAAACAGTCAATATAAATCGTAAGGATACAAGCAACAAAGTTACAGTCATACAGTCACAAGTGGGAGAATGATGAGAGGATTAATAGTAATAGTAATGCAGACTTAGTAAATAGTTGGACAGTGTTGAGGGAATTATTTGTTTATCAGAGTGATGGCATTCGGGGCAAAACGGTCCTTGTGTCTAGCTGTTCTGGTGTGCAGTGCTCTGTAGCGTCATTTTGAGGGTAGGAGTTGAAACAGTTTATGTCCAGGATGTGTGGTCAACACATGTAAAAGGTCAACACAGTCAAATACCAATTCTTTCCTTCCTATTTATATAGTTTATATTTTGGCTTCAATAGATCCAAGTTTCATTCTATGATATAAGACCCTCCAGGAGAAGAGCTTTGTTCTTCTATGGTAGCAAAAATAAAAATAAAAAATGTGGTAATATTTTTCTCCACTGACATGTTTGATTCAAAGCTTTCCAGAGAATGCCACCTAGAGCCAGCACCTCAATGCAGCCGATTAAGTGAGCTTTACTCGCCACAGCTAATGCTCTTTTCATCAAATCCGTCCACATAATTTTTTTCGAGTTGTGCTGAAAGCAATCAGGCGAAATCCTGCCGATGCAGATGTATTTCTTAATCACTAGTAAAATACAGCTCATCAGTCTGGAACCCACATTATGTATCTAATATTAGCACAGTTGAGAAAGCCCAGAAATATTTCACAAGAAGAGTTCTCCATTCCTCTACTTGTTGTGCCACCAGACTTGAAATTCTAGACCTAGAAAACCTTGAATTACACCATCTTCGGTCTGATCTAAGTATGGTATATAAAATCATACATTGCAATGCCTTACCTGTCAATGAATACTTCAGCTTCAGCCATAACAACACAAGAGCACACAATAGATACAAACTCAAGGTTAATCGCACCAAACTTGATTGCAGGAAATATGACTTCAGCAACAGAGTGGTCAATGTCTGGAATACTCTACCTGACTCTGTGGTTTCTTCCCCAAACCTCAAAAACTTTAACCTTAGACTTTCTACTATTGACCTCACCCCTTTCCTGTAGGGGGTGTGCATAAGCGCACCAACGTGCCTACCGTCCCTGTCCTATTGTTTCTTTTTATTTTTCTTATATGTACCCATTTCATGTATTCATAACTATGTATATACTTATACCTATTATCTTGTAAGCGATTGACAAATCAAATATAAATAAATAAATAATAAATAAAAGAGGCTAAAGAAAAGTTGGTTGGTT